ATTAACTTGAACTGAGGAGATTGTATAAACTAAGCTAGTTGGTTGCACAGAGCTAGATATTTAGACTGAATTTGGCAGGTTCCAGCTGAACAAGAGTCTGCTTCAATTTAAGTCAGCTTTACATGAACATTGTCCTATGATGCTGATAATCACATTGGTTAAGTTAAAACTTCTATCATGGATCACTTAAATGTAGTCTAGGGCAGTTTGCAAATGAAGACTGTTCCAATGAGTTCATGGGCCCAAATGATTATACGGTATAACTTATATAAGCATTGTTCTATGAAGCTGATAATCACTGGTTAAGTTAAAACTTTTATCATGGACCACTTCAATGTAGTCTATGGCAGTTTGCAATTGAAGACTGTTCCAAGGAATTCATGGGCCCCAAATGATTATATGGTATAACTTCAAAATATTTATTCCCATATTTGGTTATGGGAACAATAAAAAGCGTTCATTCAACCGTCTAAAGCCCTAAATGTCTTAAGACCTACTTGTTCTTCTATATTTGTCAGAGTAAGCCATAAGGGGAATTTAGAACAACTCCCTCTCTTTATTCCACTACTGCTATGCTATCTGTTGCAATATCTGTTACTACCAGTTCATTAATTCAATGTTGGAATACGTTCTTCCTGTCTTCCACCTTCTTCCACTTCAACAATCATGTTCTTTCCCCCTGCTTGTTTCAAGAATTTCAAACTTTCAAATTTGAAGGTTCATAACATTCAAGTATTCTCAGATCATGATCCATTCAAATTTTCAGAACTGAAATGCAAGTTTTTCAAATTCTTTTTTTTTAAATAATTTGTATTAAAAGAATTTATGTATATAATAAAATACATACAAAGAAAAAAATATTATAAAGTAAATGTGGAAAATAAAAAAGACAGGAAAGTTAAAGATGACACAAAGATAAAGGATGTAGAAAAAGGAAAAGAAACTAAAAGAAGGAATATATAATCAACCAACCCCTTGCTCTAAAGCTACATCATGTCTTTTCCCTTTTCTATAATCAATATTGTCTAATTCTCAAAATCATAAATCACAAGTTTTCCTTTTGTTTTTTACACAAGAAGTCCATAAAGGGTTTTCCAGTTACCAATAAATGTTGATATTATCCTTTTCTCCAATAAAAAAAAAAATCAGTTTGTCCATATCGGCAAGTTTCACCAAGCATCTCAGCATGTTCACCAAGTTTCACCATTTCACCAAGCATTCTGCCATGGTGGGTAATGCCGAATCTTTCTATCTTTGTGCATATAGTAATCTCACCACAGTGATCATCTATTGCAGTGGTTTTCAAGCTTTTCTTCACCACAGATGGCTTTCAATACCTTTTGTGGCCACAGTCCATGGCCACAGACCACCAAGACTTAACTCAAGATTTAAATCATAACATTTCTTAACAAGACTTCACAGACTCCCTATGATGACATTGTGGGGCCCCCAGGGGTCCACGGATCACAGGTTGAGAACCACTAGTCTGTTGAAATAGTCTTCCATGGGTCTTTCAAGGTAATTATTGACAGCAAAACTTCCTCTCCCTGTGATGTCGGGATTTGGGATAGAAGGGTAGACAAAAGTTCCATCTTCCCCTCTTGCAATATTAGATAATGTAAGTGAGATCTTTTGAGAGATTTAGGGTTAGGATGATCAAAAAAAGTGCTAAGACAAATTTGTCTTTATCTGTCTTCTGAAGAAAAAAATCTACTTGATTCAATTCTCTTTATGGTGTGATAAACAATAGTATAGTAGCCTTGGCCAAAAACATTTATTAGCAATTACATTTGTTGGTTCTAGGGATACGCGCTAACTAAAAAAAAGTGTTAGCTATCAGATATCTAACTTATTTGTCTAGCAGACTATCAAAGCTGGTGGAAAATAATGCCTCCTGTAGATATATCCCACTGTGACTTTAATGTTTGCAAGAAGCTGGTTTTCTATAAAAATGAGTTAAAGCTTAGTGTAGACAAACAGAGAAAATAGAAGCAATAGTTGAAAATGGAACTGAGCTGGAATCTTTCCCAAGGAAACCTGTGTATGATAGCACCCTGCAGATGAAGAAAAGCTTTGCAAGAGGCTGGTTTTGACGCAATACAGGCATTCTGACATGTGAACTTTATGCCTGGTTGGAACCAGATGCAGACCTATGTGGTTGTAATTAACTCCATCTCCCACCTTCTTTACTCAAGACAATTCTCTTCCCACAGAATTTTAAATATTGGTCATTTAAAGGGAAGCTCCCCATCTCCTTTTTCAAACACCATAGTAGTATGTAGGTCTTCTGCATAAGTACATGTATAAGTGTATTTCTTGTCACTTCTCACAAGGGCTGTTAAATGGAGGAATGGTAGTTGGGGATGGCTTTAGAATTGCTCACAGCAAGAATTCAGGATTGTTATTGTTTTGCATGCTTCTAGATACATGCACAAAATGTGCACAAAATGTGAGCAAGGGGTATTTTATGAGCATGTGAGCAATGTATTTATTTCCATTTTCTGTAACATCGGAGTGAGGGGACTCCAATTATTCTTGAACATAAGCTGGTTCAGAGGGTAAAGTACCAACTAAATTTCTTTGCCCTCATCTGTTGGTCAATTGGAAAAGGCTCTACTTCTTTTCAGCAAGTATTCTGTTTTCATGAATGCTAATCCTGGTTGGTTTGAACTGATTGGGTGACATTCATGGAAGTGATTTATGCTTCATTAAAGTGGTATCTAATCTTGATCTATAACAGAGAACTCCAAACTTGGCAACTTTAAGACTTGTGGACATCAACTCCCAGAATTCTCCAGCCAGCTAAATTTGGGGACCCCTGATCTATATAATACTCACAACCTAATCTATGCTTGTTGGAGAGATATCAGGAAATTAGGACTAGCACTACCTAAAGCTGCTCTTTTATACTTAATTAAATCACCATTTGTCACTGTATTATCAGAAAACAGTCCAATCCCATTAAGGCTATGATTTTATTCTTCTCTTGTTTGAAAGCATGCTTTGTTGAAAATAGGACATTCTTTTGAGTAGACATGCATAAATGTTCACCCATAGATAAATCTTGTAGAGTTCAAGCTACCATTTTGTTTCAAGCTCCAACCTGATCTCTATTTACCCATTACTTTAATAATAAGAGAGGGAACTAACTTCCTGAATATTGTTCCTCATGTCTGTAATCGCTGTTATGAAAACATACTTAGTTTATTTGTTCATATGGTCATTGCTGTCTAGTTTGGTAATTTCATATGTTTTATTAGCCTATCTATTCATCCTTTTATCCTGTCAGACCCAAGTATGCTTATTCTATACCAAACACATTCCATATTTCAAATTGTCTCTCTTATTTTTTCAGCCCATAGAAAAAGTAAGCCTTTTGTGTTCATTCACTGCCATCTACTGCAAGTCAAAGTAGCTACAAGTGAAATTACTCCCAAATAATCTGTTCTGAAGGCCTTGAAAGACATTCTACATTGAAGACAAGCAGGCCTGGCCGTACCCTGGTGGGAGACTGCTGAAGAAGATCTGGAAGCGTCTTTGAAATATGTAAAGAACAAGTTTACATTTATTTGAAGATCTACCAAATAAATAGCAGAATCAAGTGAATTCTCTCAAATTCATTTTTCACTATTTCTCTTAACTTAGGCAGCCCTTTCACATATTAGATTATTTATTTATTATTTGTATCCTGCCTTTATTATTTCAACAAATAACATAAGCTAGCGAACATATCCAACATACCTTCCTCCTTCTATTTTCCCCACAACATCCACCTTATGTGGGTTGGGCTAAGAGACAGCAATCCAGCTGGCTTTCATGGATAAAACAGGACTTGAACTCACAGTCTTCTGCTTTCTAGTCTGGTACTTTAACTCCTAGATCAAACTGGTTGTCATTATGATTATCTGATAATGAAATTTCTGCATATACTTCCTTGTTTCCATTTTCAGGTGCATAGAAAGAGAAATAATATGTGTCTTGGAAAATCTTCTGAAACCAGACAGATCTAAATCAGTGGGAATATTTAAATTTATATATACATATACACTTTGTGAAGTAGCTTACCTTAGCCAAAATCTTTGCTGTCCTGCAAATATATCTTCAAACATTTTAAAAACCAAAAGCATTCAACAGTATGATTTTTCTTTGCCAATGTAATGTAACTTTATATCAGGGCTGGTATAATCAATGTGCAGAGTACATTGCCCAACAAAATAACACTATATAAAGAAACCCATTGCCAGGTAATTTGAGATGTACTGTTTTTCAATGGATATTTTTCTGTAATATTTCTAAGGATCGTTATTAAATTGGTCTAAGAAAGCTGGAATATTGTATGTTCCAATTTATTTTAACAGGGCAGAAATGTCTCTCTGCAGCCTGAATTCTGTTTCCTTCAGCCTTTGGAATATGAAATTCTTTAGTAAAAGGAAAGAGGTAAATGCAAGTTGTTGGTTTTTTTTTGCAGCTTTCAGTTTACATTCAGAAAGACCAGGGGAGAGAGCCCTGGCCTGCGAATTTAGCCATAGGAGACAGATGCTTCTGTGTTTATAAAGAAAACAAATGTTGCATAGATATCACTGTTTCCCAAAGTTATGTCATCCAAAGGAAAATAAATCATGTATAGTTTTCAGGGAAGTGGGGAGCAGCATTGCCTGCAGCCAAAAATGATATGAGAGATTAAAGAACTATGAGCTGCAACCAAATGGCACTTTTTTTAAAAAAATGGAAAGCTCTGGATCTGTAGAAGATCAAAATTTTTGAATAATAATCTGGGAAATTATTTCTAACTGACACTGGCTTCATGTTATACTTCTGTTCAACTGAGTATGAAGTTGTGGCTTCAAATACTCATCAGATGTCTGAGAAACACCTACTATAGAAGTTCATGGGTAGATCAGGATGAATCTCTTAATAGTCCTTCCTTTGCTCCAGATTCCTTTGCTCCAGTTTCTGTAAGATGGGTCATAACAGCAGGTAACATATGAATATAATCTATGAGATTGTGTTTTTCCTCCTTGCATTCAGAAAGACAGATGCTTCCAAAGTGGGATTTTCTGCCACAAGGGTTATACTCTGTCAAACATAATTTTCTGTCTTCCCCTTCCTCTTCTCTCCCAACCAGATACCTTCCAGGTGGCCACATACCATGGTTGTAAATGTCCAACATCTTTTGTTTGATTGATCCATTCCAAATACCTGAGAGACCCAGGGTGGTTTCAGAGGGAGCTTGGAGTTTTCCCCAAAACTCTTGTTACATGGTCCGGCTGAGGTTCTTGATACAACTTAGAATGAGCAGGTGGCGGGGGCCATGGACCAAACTGCATCTGCGAGAACTTCTCTCTGTGTGGATCTCATAGAGCCCCATGGTTTACTGAATGATTCAGAGAGATGAAGCAATGTAAGAGATGCCCACAGTGCTACTGGAGGAAGACAAGGAATGAGGCTGATCAAGAAGAGGTAAGAGCCTATATTAGGACTTATCTGGTGATCATAAGGTCGCTGAACCATAATTCTACCTTTGCTCTCATTGCATCAGTAGATAGCTAACTAGGTTTTTTTTTAAGTGTAGCCCTTGCAGGTTCACTGTGAAAAATACTCTTGGTATCTGTCAGATATAGTCAGTCCTTTGGAGGTGAAAGGAACATGACTGAGCTTTGTTATCCAGGAAGAGTTTAAGCCAGTTTCTCTCGAGAAAGTGGTCAGGGTTCTTGGGACGGTAGGCATGGCTACGTATGCCCCTCCTGGTTGGTTAAGGTTTCCTGGGAGGTGGCAGGTGGTTAGGTCCAAGTGGTGATTAATGTCTCTTTGTGGGAGAGGGTGGCCTAGCCTGTCTTGAAGGAAGTGATGGTATATACCTTCTCAAAAGGCCATCCTCTTTTATTAGGCAACTTTCACCCAGTCTTCAATTTTCTCTGTTTAGGGAAAGTTGAAGAGAAAGTGGTTGACACACCGCTACAGCCCTGAATTAAGTGGACTATCTGGACCCTCTTCAATCTGGGTTCACGCCTGGGCACAACACTGAAACGGCATTGGTTGCATTTGTCGATGACCTTTGGAGAGCTTGATATGGAGGTGATGGAACCATTCTGGCCTGCTGGATCTTTCAGTGGATTTTGATACCACGACCATAGTATCCTTCTGGATTGCCTTTGGAGGGTTGGGAGTGAGAGGCACCTAAGTTATGGTAGTTCTCCTCCTTGTGCTTGTGGGAGGGAAGAGGTCAAGCCATGGGCCCCTGAAATGTGGGGTGCTAGATGTAGATTGACAACTTGTAGCCCTTTTTTTTCCCTTCCAAGCCCAGAAACCCTGAAGGTTATACTGACCACAATTGGTTTAAAACTCCATTGTAAATATCCAGCATGTGTGTGTGTGTGGATTTTTTTTTTAAAAAGAGAGAAGACAAACTAGAACAAGTACATTAAGCCTCTAATAGGAACAAGCATAACTTTTTTACTTTCAAAAAGCCTTCCTAAACCTCTCAAAATCTAGAGTAGAAAAAGCCATCTTATGCTCTCATGTTGTTACGTGACTACCATGTTCCCTGTAAGAACTGTAAAAAAAGGGTTTAGGTAAGGTTTTCAACTCAGAATACCTAAGTTAGTAACATATTGCCTCGCTATATGTTGGCATTTTGGGGTTGTATAGTTTTTGAACATATAACACAAGAAAAATGAAGAATTATTACATTGGATGAAAAAAAAATGCAACAATTCACAGCAATATCATTGTAACTATAAAGTTTGTCATTTTTTGTATGTAAAACAGTGCCCCCAACTCAATTGGCACCATCTGTTTGGATGAAGGAAGTAGGAAAAATAAATGCAAACTTCTGAGCAATTAATCAAGTATTTGTACTAAGACTATGCTGGAATGTACTTTGCAGTTTCTCAAAGTCCCCCCTCCCCCGCTAAAGAAACTTTTAATTTTGTGCCTTATTCTCAGGCTGCTGAAAATGTCTTTCGAACTTCCCTTGACATTGTTTCCAACTTGCTATTAGAGATTGCAACCTGCTAGTTTTATTGTTTTTCTATAACACATATTTCCAGTCTAAAACTCCCTGGCTGACCACGCTACCCATTGTGAAAAAAACTTAATAGAGGAGTTATCATTATCAGTTTCCTTGGGATTTAAGTGTGGGAAACAAGGGAGGCTACAAACTGTTGGCAAAATGATAACACAAGAGCAACACACGCATTCTTCCACCACCTTGAATGTAAGTAAGACAAAAACATTGCTCATTGTCCCATGAAATTTGACCAGAATCATCCTGTCTTGAAAGAAAATTTGAAAGGACGTTATTATCTTTCATGAAGTTCAGTGACAACTTAGGGGAAAAAAACAGAAAAATGTTTTCTGCGTAACATTAATCTGGATGGTAGATATATGCAAGTGGAACCCATACTTCCTATTCTGAGATTCTTACTACTGCAGAGAGGTTCACATAACCTCTCTGAAGTGCTGAAAGAATGCATGGGGAGATACGGTTACGCAGGCTTTCGGTTACACTTCCAGCAGTCACACAGTTGTTCTTCCTTGGCAGCAAACTGTCCAGACTTTGGAGTTGGGAAAGGGTCTAAGTCCCTCTGAGGTTCTCCAGATAAGAGACAACTTACCTAAATTCCATACTAATAATAGCATAATGGAGTATCTATACTTACATAGGCGTAGATATCACACCTATGTAGACCCTTTACATTCCATAAAATAAATGCAAGATAAAATGCAAGGAAGTGATCCTAGTACCCAAAGGGTCCTTCTTTGATTAGAAATATAAAGAGATCAACATTAGCCCATATTGCCTCAGAGCCTCTCCCCCCACCAGTATTCACTGGCTGCATAGTTGTCTGGCTAAAGATTCAAATGTTGATGGTGCAACTAGTCCTCCATTAGAATGTATACCTGATGAATAATACTTTATTAGACTTTGTTGATCCCGCAGCAAAACAGACCCCAGGTGTCACAAACTGCCAGATGCTTCTCTTTAATAATCTGCCACTCCTGTTTAATACAGTCCCAGAAGACACATCTAACAGCATGATGAAGTATTATCTATTAGGCCAAACACAAGGTTTCTACTCTAAGGAGCCTCCAATCGAAATTATACCGATAACCTAATGAGACCATACACAACAGCAGCATAAAAAGGGTGTGAGAGACAGAAGGGAGAGTATCACACAAAATGAGAAATGGGCTCTTGAGGAAACATAAATTATAGAGAACAGAGGCAGTATAATTAGCTATATTGCGTTCTTAGGTGTAAGAAAGAAAGCAAAGAGATACTGATCAGAGCCAAAGAATATATTGCAAAAACGGGGGGAAATGAGGTAAGCCATGATGGTCGGGTCAGCTTTTCCCAACCTGGACCCCTCTCCCCCCAATTGTATGAGTTTTTAATTCTCATAAGCCCTAGCCAGCCCCAGATGTTGTAACCTCAACGTATCAGGGAGGCACCAGATTAGGGAAAATTAATTTAGGCCAGGAAAACCTGCCTCTTCTTGGGACTAGGATAGATGTTCACTATGGAATCTCTGAATTCTATGAGGCCAGACATGAGGGGGACCATTTGGCCTAAGCTGGAGCTTAAGGGATCCACACATTTCAATACTTGCAATTACTGTAGTTTTTTTTTTTTAAGGTTTAAACCCTGTTTCACTTAAGATTGAATGCACGTGTGTCTTATTTTATTTCACATGTTCTCATTTATTTTATTTTGGTGGGCCTCCAACAGCTGGAAAAAGCCTGGGAATTTCTAGTCTCTGAAAGAGGCTGATGTGAAGAAGTATTTGAAAGAAAAATATAAAATGTCTGTGCTTGCTAGGGGAACTAAGACAAAACCAGGTTCTGTTATATTTTTAAGAAAACTAGAAGGAACAAGGTGAGAACAGAATTCATGAGGTTGAAAACATGAGATAATATAATTACAGCAGAGATTTTACTTATGACAGGAGTTGAACCACAAATTATAACTCTGTTTTATCTCTCTATATCTAGTACTGCTGACTAATGAATCCCAAAAAGGGGAAATTATTGTAAAATATATATTTTATTGAAAGTTTCTTGTTTCTTTATGCAGTACTCTGTTGAAATTACTAGGATGCCTGAGAACAGCCTTCAAAAGCTTCTTAGGTATTAGAGTTTTATAAAAAATGTTTCTCTGTCCAGTCTTTGCATGGGGAAAAAGTATGACTATTACATTTTCTTAACTCTTCTCCACGTCTTCCACAATGAATAGCTCTACTTAGCCCACTCAGCAAGTCTTTTGGAAAATAACTAAGCGGATTTTCCTCTTCAGATTAAATGATCTCCAATGATCTTCCCCTCTGCAAATCAGCAGGAAGTGGAAAAAGAAAAGAATTGTTGTGGTTTTAATTTAGGAAAATATGGGTGCACTTATTTCAACATCATTGGGTAAATTAATAAAAAAATATGTGAGCTTCCATTGCTGAGGTTCATCTGAAAGGCTGTTCTGAATTCTAAATCTGAATTTAGTTGGCACTTTTAGAGTATTATTTTTGTTTAATTTGTATTTATATTTACTGCTTTAATTAGCATTTGGTATATCTACTAACCAAGTAAACTAAAATATAATTATGGAAGGATAAGTAACATGAAAATATTACAGATTGGATCTTGATTAAATATCAGCTTAATTTGTCTGGTCTGTGCAATCCACTAGAACTTGTTTCCTAGTTCAAGACTGTATCTATTGCCTTATTTAATGACCACTGAAATCAAGTGGACAAATCATTACAGATAATTCTCAACTTATGACAGTTTAACAACTGTACAACGTTATAACAGTAGTGAAAAAAGCGAATTACAACTAGTCCTCACACTTTTCAGTGTCCCCATGATCAAGTGATTAAAATTTGGGTGCTTGGCAACCAGTGTATATTTATAAGAGTTGCAGCATCTTAGAATTACATGATCACTGTTTGTGATCTTCCCAGGGAGCTTCTGACAAGCAAAGCAGTGGTGGGATTCAAATATTTTTACTACCGGTTCGGTGGGCGTGGCTTGGTGGGCATGGCAGGGGAAGGATACTGTAAAATCTCCAGTCAGAGGTGGTATTTGCCGGTTTTCCGAACTACACAAAATTTCTGCTACTGGTTCTCCAGAACTGGTCAGAACCTGCTGAATACCACCTCTGAAGCAAAGTTAATGGTGAAAACAGATTCGCTTAATGACCACAGCAAAAAGGGTTATAAAGCCAGGCCAAGTGATTTAAGAACTGCATGGCTTAATGACCGAAATTCCCATCCCAATTGGGTCATACGCTGAGGACAATCGTCACGATCATATGGCACTAATTTAGTGTGGAGCCAAGACTAGGGGTAAAATCTAATTTACAAAAACAGGTTTCTGTCATGCAGAATTCTCAGAGTGCCCCAACTGCTTGTTGCAGAGCCTAAAATCTTTAGCTGTAGGAAAGAAACTCTCTTTTCTGAATGCTGCTAATAGAAGCAGTTTTGTTCCAATTTGATTCAGAATATCAGTTTTCTATCCATGCATTGTGAATTTTTCCATTATCCAAATTGATTGTACCAACTAATCTGATTTAACAAGTGAAACTGCCAAAGCTTTGTCAAATCAGTTTGCTGCAACACAACTTTGCACAGGTCCATTATCTGTGTGGAAACAGAGCCCCTGTGCCACCTCTAATTAATGCCCATGAAAATTAAATACATAAATAAATAACATATGCTGTGAAATCTTGCAAAATTACGGGAAGTCATATGAAATTTCAGCAATTGTCAAAATCCCATAAGAGTTCAGTCATTTTTAATTTGTCTTTTAAATTTATCTTTATATTATTTTAGCTAGTTCTTCATTTACACTAAATAGTTTAATAATTTCTAACACCTGCAAAGAAGGCCACCTGTTCTATTATTAATAACACTAGTGGGGAACTTTCATCATAAGTTTGCCAAGACTAAAGTGGTCATATACACCCTCCCCCATTTTCGCTTTTGCTCTGTTGTCTCAAATTCTTTTCGTAGAAAAAAGTCTGCCCTGATCATTATGCCTTAGCTCTCATTTTTTTTAAAGCTAATGAGCTTCTTTGTGATTCTTCCCTCTTTTGCTTTGAAAAACAGTTTTTTTGTTTTTTTTTTAAGTCTAATGGTTGGCAGAGCACTTCAAACTGTAATCTAAATCCCTTAATGAAGTTCAACCATTAATGGAATTATCGTAATATTAATTTCATGTCCATTCTTTTTTTTTTCCGATCCACATAATCTTTTAATAAAATTGGGATGGTGCAAAGGTAATGCCAAAAGCTGTATTTTTCTCCATATGTAACATGTTTTTCCTTTTTAAAAATTCTTTGACACATTTGGTGTCTTTTACCAAATACCTACTGGGATCACTCTTATTCACATCACTCCCTCTCACTTTTATTCTTCTGTACTATTAGATTTAGCTTTGATCTTTCCTTTCCTTTCTGCCTCTGGTCTACTACATTCATCTGCAAAAAGCAAGAAGGGTGTTTGTTTAACTAAAGCATTTTTTCTATCACTAGATTTCCCTTCTTTCTACTATTGCTGTGTGGATATTTCTTTTTGATCCAAATTTTATAGGCTGTATTCTGCTCCCTTGAAAAATATATTTTCCTAGCCATTCCATAGTAGTTGTGAACAACAAGTTGATAAGTCATATAGAAAACCCCTAGAATTTAAATTCTACTCTTTACCACAAAACCCTCCCACCACAAAATCTTTATGTACGATGATAATTCCAGAGTTTATCAGTTTGACTGGTTTGCGTTAACTTTTATAGTAGAAAAATATTTTAAAAACTAGAGGATTGTTTCAACAGCACTGGCAGATTATGCTTATTTTTATATTTTTACAATTTAAATAGCAGATGAAATTTTTATTCAGTTGAAGGTCAAACTGTGCTCCAGTAGAACTGCAAACCGCAATAGTTTAATTGGCAGAAAATAAAAATAATCAGTTAATTAATCCACAGAAGACCAAAGAGATGAATGAAAACTAAAATATTGCAGATGGAATTTTGTTCTGGCAAATAATAGCTTTCATTTATTAGATTCCGGCTTTAAAAAAAAATCTTTTATATCTTTAAAAAAAGGCATCTAGTTTGAAAGTTTGGTGGTCTGCAAATGTACTAACCTTTTTCTTCCACCCTTTTTTCTCTGATTCTTGGAGATTCCGTGGACAATCGCTGCTGTTTTCTTGGCAAGGTTTTTTCAAAAGTAATTTGCCATGGCCTTCTGAGAGAAACACTGGCTCAAGGTCACCTAGCTAGCTTCATGCATAAGGCAGGATTAGCACTCACGGTCTCTCAATTTTTAGCCTGATGATTTAACTGCTACACCAAACTGGCTCTTGATTAATAACTTTAAAAAAATATCTAAGCAGTTACAAATTCTCAGCTTAAATCTCTCGTTAAGAAATAAAATAATACAAGCATTAGATTGATGAAATAAGAAAATACAGTTACAGAAAGATAATGTATACGTGATAAGTCAAAGAACATCAGCAATGCACCAAATTCTTCTTGAAGAATTTGAATTCTTCTTGAAGAATGATTTATATACCGTGTTTCTCATATAATAAGGCCGGGTCTAATTTTTTTATGAGCCCCGAAAAAATGGCTAGGCCGTCTTTTCGGGGGTGACTTAATCCCCCCCCTTGCATCTTCGGGCAGGCGGCGACAGCTTGGATGTTGACCTCGGCATTGGTGGGGCACTTCGTATCGGGGTCAATGCAGGCAGCACCATATCCGGGTGTGCAACCAAAGTACTTCCTAACGGCAAGCCCCCCCACCATTCCCCCCATTTTGCATATTTTAATATAGGCCTTAATTTGAGAGGAGGGGCTTGATTTCATTTCATGCCTATAAAACATGCTGGGACTTCCTATTGGGGGAGGCCGTATTGTTGGAGAAACAGGGTAGTAGCAAATGATATTTTTGTAAGGCAGGAAGATGGCATAGTGGTGACTGGGTAACAGAATTTCTCCCCTGCTTTGGTCTTGATATAAGCCAGGACCATTTCAGCTGCTTTCTGTTACAAAAAAATTGTGGCCAGTGTGCACTACATGGAAAAGATATGGAAGTGTTTTTAATCTCTTGCCAACTACAAAAATGAGCACTATACTTCTCCCTGTTTCTTTTTTTAGATTCATCTGAAAGAATGACAATGATATTGGAGGCCTCATACAAAATTTGGTGCCACATTATAGAAAACCCTATTCTGGCTGTGTGCTGAATGAACTTCAGTAGATTTAAGATACAGAGCTTTACCTCACAAAGACCTGAGGAGGTGAACACAGTCACATGTTGCTTGATCTTCTCAAAACATCAGTCTCCGAATCTAAAACAGGTGGGTGTTTATTTTTGAAGCATTGGCATTCTTGGTTTCCAGTCAATGTGTCCATTACATCTATCAGAGGCCAATGTAACAGCTCTTTCCAACAAAACTTCTTTTGTTCAACCATCCAGTGCTTTCCCCATTTGTTAAGCTTTTCTTAAAATGGACACTATTGTAAAGGCCCAGCTTTTTCTCCCTTGTTTTCATGGGAGTGAGGTATTTTTTCTTGAAAAGATTTCTGAAAAGAATAATTGATTTTCATCAAAGGTACGTTCTTCTCTGATATAATTTGCCTACTCCATTTTAAAATTCAGATCAATATATGAATATTAAACTTCTGAACTAGGAAAAAAATGAGATGTGTGCACGGGAGTGGATATTTTTTTCTTACCTGAAAAATGTGATAAAATCAGAAAGTAAAGGAAAGCTAAGAAACATAAACACACATGCAACACACACACATACACAACTTGTTCAGTTGCTTGCATTCAAATTTTCATGACATAATTTCACTAGGATTACCTGTCAATAACTGTTTCTTTGAGTGTCTAAACTCTAACTCAAATGGCAAGTCTGCTAAATATCTTTACTTCATATTTTCGTGCTTAGATCCCAATTTGCATTTCCCAAACCTGTGTTATCCAGACTGCATGTTCAGAATGCTTTCTGTATATACTGTAGCTATGTATATATACACAAACACACAAATATGCATGCACACATACACATATACTAAAATCTGTGCCTTTCCAAATTCTGTGATCTATACATAGTGTAAAAAGGAATAAAGCATAATGGTAATATTTGGGTGAAAAAGGAACACAAAATACATTGGCTTAGCAAAAAATGGATTACAGAGTGTGCATACATGAGGATAGGTGCATATTATATTGCATTATACAAGATTGCATATTAGGAGAAATGAAAATATATAAATCTTCTTGCAGAGCTTTTTCTCTTTGTTTTAGCTGCAAACATAGGTGCTAATAGAATGGAGTGATGCTATGCTTGAAAAATGAGAAGGAATTAAATCAAATGTAAGAAACAAGTTTGTTTGTAGGTGAGAGGAGCTTTCCAGACTTGGGAAGAACAGTGCTTTTCAGAAACAAAAAGCTTCCATATTTGGGAAGGTTGGAAGTGTCATTGTACCCCACTTACGTATATCTGAAGTTTTAAGCTCAGAGCTCTACTCAGTGTATCCTTCCAAGTCCAAAGCCAGATGATTTCCTGACAGAATAATTCAATCATCCCAATATGGTGCCTGTTACTGTCAGGTATCTCCAGGGGCTGAAGAAACTGAGAAGTACAAACAGAGCAAATATAGTACATGTTCTGGTGCCTTCTGGTATAATTGTGACAGGACATTGAAGAGGATGAACAAGAACTCTGCAGTATCTTTTCTGTCATCTTCTCCAGGTCATCATTCATCTCCCCAACCAAAGCAACCTGAAAAGAACTATATACTGCAAATTGGAACAAGTGCATATACCGGATTATACTACAAAACATATTTTTTTCTTCTAAGACACAAACATTGTAGGAAAGGTAAAGATCTAAATATAAGGTCAAAGTATTATTTAATATAGTATATAGTATTTTATAATTGCCTATCAGCAGAGATATCCACAGCAAACTATGACAATGTCAGACTGATTATATGCCCATGGTAACATCATCATATAAATGTCGAGATTATGTACTATACATACAATGTCTGGTTCAAGTATCACAGAATTTTCATCAATTCACCAATTTCATGATTTCCCCCCACCCCCGTCTAGCCTGATGATGAGTATAAATAAGTAATACATTACAATCCTTATAGAGTGGTTTAGATTTTTTTTTTATTCATTGTAAACTACACAAAAATTTAAATTGCATATGAGGAAGCTAAAGACATATCTCCTTACTTCTGATTTTACCTCTACATTTATTACAGGTCAGGGTCTATACAAACCTATTGGAAACTGTCATTGAAAAATGGTCCCTCTTTGAGGGAGATGGCGGTTTGGAAATACGATGTATAAATAAAGAAATAAAAATAAGAAAACAAGAATAAAAAGAATATGAAACATTTGAAAAGCACAAGAGCCACCATATGTTATCCCAAAGGTGATTTATAAAAAGGCAATTGGACTTTGTTGATTTTTTCCTTGAAAACATTTCACTTCTCATCCAAGAAGCTTGTTCAGTTCTTCTTCAAGAAGAACTTGAAAAAGAACTGAAGAAACCTCTTGGATGAGAAGCAAAACATTTTCAAGGAAAAAACTAAGAAAGTCTTCTTGTCTTTTGAAAAGCACCTTTGAGACAACCGTGATCTAAATGATTGAGAATCTCCATAGACATTATTTGTTATTTAATAGAAGCTAACAAACTGGGAACTGTGATTTTATTCTGAACCTATGGTTCTTAACACTTAACACTCTTAACACTTTCTCCACATTCATCTGTGGAGTACTGCACAAAGGTGGCTATTAAAACCATAACACTGTAGAATCTGAAGGCTATTGAATATGAAGGCCTTGCTCAGTACAAGGAATATTGAGAATATACAGCATAGGTGAATTTACCACTACTTTCTTTGGAGATGGGAAGGGAGAGACGAATTAGCATTTCCTGTTATGTTGTTTGTAGGTACGGGTTCATATTGCTAATAGTAGACAAATTCTATGAGGAAAGGAGTACAAAAGGCAAATGTATCTATACCTACAATTTTTTTTAAAATGATATTCCTAGATAGTGCTCTGAAGAGGAGGATTACACCAGGGTCAAAACCTGTTTATTTTAAAATTCCTCCATTTATTTTAAATGGGAGAAAGTCATGTTCTGAAGATGCTTCCCAACGGTGGCTTAACCTGAATGGGAGCTCACTCACGGAAAAATTCCTAGGGCCCAATTTCTGTGAGATTCCAATATATCTGCATTAGTGAACACACATGATGGTAATTACCAACTGTGACACTTTTGAAGTCAGCTGCCGCTTATTGATCTATATCTATAGTAGAGATCTAGATAGGAGCTGAGGTTTTTGGTTCAAGTTGAGAAAGAACATCTTGAAACTGTTCTGGGCATATGAAAAATTAATTGAATCTCTCTGGACTGAAGCCTTTCCAAATGTTAAACTATCAAAATTGTTTGTGGTATCCTGCTTGAAAAGGGATAACCTGCTCAGCCTTTATAGTCTGCAGGGTTACTGAAAGATATGTAATGAAAAGCTGCCATAATCATGGAACTTTGATCTTGAACAAGTTTGATTTAGAGATGATGTCCTAAATCTCCATAGATATTTACTTCTGGCTTTCTTTCCTCTGCTGAGGGCTAAAATGAAAGTTATATTACATTACATAGATTACTAATGGTGGCTGAACGGCTAACCTCTAAACCCCTTTCTTACTAAGGTTCTTACTACTGTTTCAAAATTCCAGACTTTGGGATCAATCTATGAATTTTGGACAATAGTAGCAATTGAATCCCTGAATCCCTAACGTATCCTTTGACCTCAAGTTCAGGAAATTATGTTGGAAAGATCAGCAAGGAAAGGAACTGATTATTGAGATCCAGAGTTGATATTTACCTTTGGTTCCATCATTATCTGTTATTGGTTAGGTTCTTCATCTAACTGTTGTTCTTACCCTGCTTTCCTTACAGCACAGCCAGATGGTTGGCTAGCTTGATACAATGGATAAAATGGTTGGAAGATGCTACAGGGGGAAGACTTATCCAAAACCTTCATTTGGGATAATTTGATATATAATATCAATAATATAATATCAATTTTTCTAGTTAGAAAAAGAGCTAACTGTTAAATGGCAGAGACTTCAACTTGTTGACCTTACTGTGAGAACTTCTAAGAAATTTGCATATATCTGCATAAGGCATAAATAGCATGTCCTTGAGTGATCATTTCTCCTGTGGTCTGCAGCCCTCTTACTTTCAATTTCCATTAAATCATAGAGGGGAACAACATGATTGGGAAGTGTGAGCAGCTCTGACTTCAAAGTGATGGAAAGATACATATTGTTGAATATCTAGATTTCTTTGGAATGGACTTGACAAGATTACTTCAAACGAGCTGAAATATGTACATTTTGGAAGATAAAAAAGGAATGTTTTTAAATAAAATTCCACACGCTTAGCATTTTTGTTAGTTCATTTGATCATAGTTCTATTCTGCTAATTCTGGCACAGCAGGGAAGCTAGAAATAATGGAAACAAGGGGCCATCAAATTGGAGAAGACAGCTGATGGCTTGCATGAGTTCCAGATGTACCAGGAGGGTGAATAATAGGTAGAAATAATGGCAGAAGAAGACAACATTAGAGGAAGAAAGAAGCTGACATACAGAGTAAAAAGACCTGGAAAATTCAGAAGTTTTCTTCCTGTGAGATACACTTCTGCTTTTTTCTACTTTAGACTCCAAAGGCTTGAGATCTTGCATCAATTTTCTCCTGAGGGAAGTTGGAACTTATTTTTTGGGGAGGTTACAAAAGAATCTGACTACAGGTAGGCCTTGATTTAAAACCATTTGTTTAGTGGACATTCAAAGTTGCAATGTTGCTGAAAAAATTACTTACAATGGGCCCTAAAAACCATCACAGTATCCCAATGGTTACATGATCAAAAATTGAGGACTTGACAATCTGCAGATATTCATTAGTTTATCCAGGTGTATTTGTTGGTTCATTCCAAAAGCTGTCATTCTATGTGGTTGTACTCACAAATCCAACTGAATTCAGTGAGACTTCCTTGTTTGTGATATAATCATTATGTCCCTGGATTTGAAATTAGGTTCCTCCAAAGAGTTGGGGAACTCGTTCTTCAGCATCGTGTATTGATGTGACTGCTGGCAAGTCGAAATAAAAAAGAGGCAAATTCAGTAATAAAAAATAACTGTCCTTGGTGCGTTAATTGCTCCTAAGTGCTTCCAGAGAGACAAAGATAAAAGGAGAGAAGGTTCGATAGGATCTTACTGGAAGTTTGGCTGATTATTATATGCCATCAAATCAAT